ATTATTCGCAGGATTAAAAAAACTTCGATTAAAAAAAATTTTGCCAGCTCGTATCAGTGTCCGATACTTTTTTAATAGAGAACTTTACAATCATTTTTATCTATTATCGATATCTTGTTCATAACATTTATTCTTTTATTCTAATATTGATCCTCTTTCCTTGCTTGTAGATCGAAACATAGTTTATAGCAGGCAGATAACGAATTACGATTAGCAATAGTTATTCGTGACTCAACTGCGTGGATGATTAGTGATTACAACCGTTTTACGGCAGCCCTTTTTTACTTGAGACCGGCACCGTACAGATAACAAACATTTTATAAGCTCAAGGTATGAATCGTGAAACGATTCCTAAACATAGATATATATATATATATATACAGCGTGTTTGAAAAAATTAAGCTGGCTCTATCTAAGCTCGGTATCGTGTCGCGTTCGTAGGCAGAGGTAGCTTATCGTGACCGGTTATAAAAGAACAGATAAATGGTACGTGAAGCACACGCGGCCGACTTCGAGATCGCGGTCGACTCGGTCAAGCAGGGTCACCGCTTCCGCGACTGTCCCATACCAACGATGTACGTCGTGCATTGGTTTCCTGTATATGTATCAACTGGGAATTTAGGTATACATGTTTAGGTATATAATATTAGTTTAGATATAATTTAGATATATCCGTTTTTCCGTTTACGATTGAATCTCTTATTTCATTTTATTATTTTTCTTCCAACGTATTTTTTAATTATTTATATAATTTAAATAATAAATAATTAAATAATAAAAATTTCTGTTTACGAATATTCGTATTTCGTAACCAGACAATTTCAATGAATAGAGAGTGATATTTAAAACATTTTCTTTTTTTTCGATAACATCTTTGAATCTTGTATTTTATATCGATTCCTCATAAATGCATTCGATAAAGCATAACGAAAATTTATAGAACAAAAGTTATATTTAATATATACCTAACGAATTCACCATACAGTACCTTGAAAACGTTTGATCATTGATCCATACCTACTTCCAGTTCGTACGTTACGATCACTGAAGTCGGTTCGATCAAATGAAATTCTCAATGGAACATTCTTCGTAATACGAGAAGCGTATTTATTTCTATACATTTCGAAAGTATCCGGTTTTACGTATATTTAACGACACGAAATTAACGCGCAAATATCAACGCCTCGAGGAAACCGATAAGACTCGTTTCCGTTCTGGTAGATTGTCTACGTTTCGTAAATCCGATGAACGATCAGGAAGAATTCAGCCGACGAATTCAGTTTTTTATCCGTTTTATCCGTAATAAAATTATATGCCGCTTCGGTAACGTGATTAACTCTTTATCGATCGAGCACTAGCCGCGTCCAAAGTATATCCGATCATACGCTCGAATTACGCCTTCCGAACGAAAAATAGATCTTTTCAGTAGCAATCCATATGTAATTCCAATTATTATTATTAGTGTCGATGTTTTCGATGAAAAGAAAATTTCGTTGATGGAAAATGCTTTGTCGTTTGTCGCTGTACAGAGCTGGTTCACTGGCCCTTGTGCTAATATAGAGGACACAGGGAATCAAATTGTTATCAATTGTGGCGATAATTCGCCGTTGCAACGGGTTCGTCATCGAATCGGGGAGGATCCATTAAAACGCGATATACCGGAAACGAGCGGGTCATCGTGCGAATCGGAAATTCTTGTTTGATCGAAAACGAAATTTTCAATTCTATTAAATTTCGTTCTTCTTCCAAATTAAATCGTATATGTATATACAGTGTTCTGTACGATTTTTAAGACAGACGATGTTTAACGTTACGTTTGGAAATTCGAGTTCCATGTTATAAAACGTTATCGATCGATCCTTTTCTAATCGAATGTTCAATGCTCGAGAAGAAAAGACGTCTTGTTGAACTTGGCCGTCTCGATGAGAAATCGCGACAAGAGGCTCGACTCGATCGAATTTCACGACTCGTCTAATTCCCATAGTAAAAGATTAAATCTCGATACGATTGAATATTTTATATTATACACGCTGCGTGCTTTTTATCTTTTGATCGAGTAGCAAGATGCAATTCTAGGTTTCTCTCGATTATTTTTTTTTTTTTTTTTTTTTTAAGCGCAACTTAACGAACTTCGTATTTCTCCTCTTATATCTTTAATAATTTTTCCGCGCGTACGTTGACATGCTGTGGCGTCGTAAAGATTCACCGAGGCCGAAGCTAATCGAAATTAAATCGCGTCATCTCGAAACCATTTCTACCCCTCTTTGTCGCCATTTTGCTTTCTCTCTCTCTCTC